TGAAATCTACATAGAGCTTCCATAAGGATTTAAGATCCAGGGGGAGAAAGTATGCTGGCTCATCAAATTCTTGTATGGTTTAAAACAAGCTCCAAGACAATGGAATGCAAAGTTAACTAAAGCTTTAATAAAATCTGACTTTAAACAAAGTCAGTTTAATCACTCTTTATTTATGAAGAAGACTTCTGAGGGTACTACTATGGTTTTTTTATATTGATGATATGCTGATAACAGGTGATAATTTGAAATTGATTGAAGAAACAAAAAACAGCTTGCATCAAGTGTTTAAAATGAAGGACCTGGGTGAGCTAAAGTATTTCTTAGGTATTGAGTCTGCAAGATCTAAACAAGGGATACTAATGCATCAAAGGAAATATACTCTGGAGCTTATATGAGAACTTGGATTGAGTGTTGCTAGACCCATTGCTACTCTACTAGAAACTAATGGTAAACTGACAACCAGAGAATATGATGATCACTGCAAAAATCAGTTAACAGATGATCCTCATGTTGATATTAACCCATATCAAAGATTGATAGGTAGACTGCTTTATCAAATAATGACCAGGCCTGATATTTCCTTCAGTATTCAAACACTTAGTCAGTTCTTACAACAGCCTAAAAAATCACATATGGAAGCAGCAATGAGGATTGTCAAATATATCAAGAACCAACATGGAAGAGGGATTCTATTATCTAGTTCAAACAACAACATTACTGCCTACTGTGATACAGATTGGGCAGCATGTCCAATTTCCAGAAAATCAGTAACAGGGTACTTAATCAAGATAGGAGACTCATTAGTAGTGTGGAAATCAAAGAAACAAACAACAGTATCTAGGAGCTCTGCAGAGGCTGAATACAGAAGCATTGTAGCCACAGTAGCTGAACTCATTTGGCTACAAGGTCTCATGAAAGAAATTAGCATTGAAGTAACCTTACCTATTAAGGTATACAGTGATAGTAAAGCTACTATTCAGATTGCAGCTAATCCTGTATACCATGAGAGAACCAAGCATATCGAAATAGATTGCAACTTTATAAGAGAAAGAATAATACAAGGGTTGATAGTAACAAAGTACATTCCCAGCAAAGATCAGCCTGCAGACATTCTTACTAAAGGTCTCACTAGAGTTCAACATGAACACCTAATGTCCAAGCTAGGAGTTCTAAATATTTTCTCACCTCCTAGCTTGAGGGGGAGTGTTGAGAAAGGTGTAACATAAGTGTTAAAGTGTAAGGGCATTTTAGTCTTTTCAATCTTCCTAATTACCGGTAGTTAGATGTCCATTAGTTAGTTAAGAGGTCAATTAGTTGAGTCAGANTCAATCAATATGAAAGAAAATGATTTCATTATCTTCTTCACTCATTCTCTCTCTAACCTCTCTTTAGTCTTCTTCTAGACATTCTTCATCTTCTTCCTCTGGATTCTAAAGTTCATAATCTAGAAATTGCCTATTAGCTTCAAAATCACTTAAAAACAATTACTTTGATGATTTATTTTCCTTAGGAATTTGAAGTGAAGTTGTGATTGTTTAACGTAGAGATGATAGTAGTCCAGAATAGGAGAATTAGTATAGAGTCGTAGAGATATAGGTTGACCAAAGAGGAAATATTTGTAAGTGTAGTAGTGCTAGTTGACAAGGCGAATCCAATGTAAGTCTACGTCAATGATGCTCCCTCGTGTGCAAAACGTTATTTGTGACGAGGGACTGACTGACTCAAGACTCAAGAGTCAGTCACGACAGCGTACGAGAGTCTTATTTGCTCTGAACATCTGATAAGTGATCAGACGTACGCATCTGACCTTTTTATTACTTACTTAACAAGCAAATCCAACTTTGTTAATTAACCTAGTTGTAGTACAAGGAATGACAAAAACAAGATGTCATCTGCGTATAATGTATGTATTGCAGATGAAAGAAGAGAATCCAATTCATCACTAGAGCACGTTGCATGGTTTGAATTACAGCTACCTACTTCCCTTGTATTTATGTACTGTCAATTCCTGAGGTTTCTACTCTACGATGATGTAATTGTGCAGCTGTTTTGCTAGTGCTAACATCCAATCTCCTACGCCTGACTTCTACTTCTCTTCAATGTTTGCTTCGGGGTAATTTTTGACCAAGAGTTTCAACCAGAAAAAAAATTCAATTCCCAAAAACTGCTTTTAACGAAATACCTAATTTGCCCAAAAAAAAAAAGAACAAAGAATTTCGAAAATGCCACCTAATTCTTTTACTACTTACTCCCGATATTTTGGTGAATTTTTCTTAGTATAAATTAACTTGGCAAAACTTAATTTGCCATTTTATAATATATTAGTATTGTTATATAATAATACTAACTATTAGTACTACTTTTTAAATATCCATTTTAGATATTATTTTCACAAGATAGATGATAAAACAATCATGTTATTGATTAATCAGACAAAAATTTAAAAACAGCGACAAGGTAAATACTTATTCGCTCAAGATATTAACATTAAATTAAACTATATAACCAATTTATAACCATGGTTGAGCGATAAGGTGTGTACAAAAAATACATATTTGCCTTCCTGGCTTGGTGTAATTAAACACCCGATGGGTAAGTTTTTTTCCCAATAACAATATTGTACGGGGTCCTTTTTCAGTAATCAGGCAAACGTTGTAGGGACCGCAAAAATTTGGTATGACCTAATATTCCTTTTGTTCTTTAACTTTGCTATTTTTTCTTTCTTCAATTCATTTAGTTCATCTTGCCACAAAAAAAAAAAAAATACTCAATTTACCACTCCAAATTTGACGGCCTATATTGTGATTTGGAATCCGCACAATAATAATAATAATAATAATCAAGAAAATATGAATATTCATATTTTTCGTCATTCAATCTATGTTTTATCCGTATTAAGTATGAGTGATTCAGAAATTTTATATGTGTTGCCTAAAACGTATTCAATCCATCTATATCAATCCGGCTCCACCCATCATTTGCTAGCACTAATTCATAGTGAACACTTATTACTTTAAAATGCTAAATTCGCTACTGTATTGAACCCTCTTGAGTCTTACGGGTGCACCTAAACTAACAAAATAATTAACGAAGAGCGAGAAAATTTCACTCAAACAATGGTGGTCGGCTACTAAATCAAGCTTGCATATACTATGGCCGAATTAGTTTTTTCTTGATTATTGAACTGTCTACGTGGTGACAGTAGTATATATGTAATGAGTTTTACTTGTTAAGAATCAGGGTACGTAGTTTCTATATGTTTAGGCAATTATCAAGGGACAGGGATACATGTTATCTTGAGAGAGCACGTGAGATATGAGAAATAAGAGCAAGTAAAGATTTTGTGTAATGAATAATATAGGTGCAAATGGGAAGACAAGATTTATCATCCAAAATATGGCACTCTTCCAAATGGACCATCAAATGAGTACGTAATATATATGGCCCCCTCCCCCACCTGCTTACTTTTGCCCATTCCATGTATTTTTCTCAGGAACTCTGAAACTTACATGCCTTGTATGTGAATTGTGTTTTCGTAACTCAACTCATAACACAATTCTACACCTAACGAACAATTATTCAGATTTATTTTCTATACTGCTTGTTATGCCTTTTGATCATACATAATATTCTTATATTTACAAATAATATTGAACTTTATTATTTGAAATATTATGAAATTATGAATTAATAATGGATTTTACTCACAAATCTTTAACTTCTTTTTTTTTTTCCAAGAATTCATGTTCAGACATTAACGAGCTAATACTCTTTTTCAATTTCAGTTTTTTTGTTCAACTGCAACCGAATATTATCCAGACGCCTACTAATGTTCTCTCCTTTTAATATGTCGATTTTCTATTCTGACGTTATTCCTGTATGTACTTCCAACACAACGAGGTCATTTTCGTCTCTTCATTTTCTTTAAATAGGGAAATTGTTTTGTTCTGTAAGTATTTTATTTGTTATATATACTCCTGATTCCTGAAGTCTATTTTGGAATCATTTGGAATTCCCTTTCAACGAAACATATCTATTCGAAACATTGAGCTAGCCTCTGGCAGTACATTCTCAAATTTGTTTTGAAAATTTTGATTTGAGTGAAGTTTGATTTGAAAATAAAAATGTATTTGAATATCAGTTTTCAAAACATATTGCACTTTTTTTAAAAAAAAAAATATGAAACATGACTTATACCCACAAGTTCTAAAAACTATCACAAATATCCAACGGTACCTTCATCAATAATATTTATTATATTATCGCAAACAATAGTCCTGAACATAAATAAATTTAGTACAAAATTATCATTTTTATAATGAACTACATAATACACTATCATATGACCGAGAAGATGAAGCAGCATTGTTACAAAATAATAAATGGTGGGCTCTTTTATAAATTACAAAAGTTTAGGGCAATTTTTAAAAAATGTAATAGTAATATTTTGGGCCAAACTAGTTTTGGGATTTGGGTTTTGAGTTTTGGGAATTTGCCAAAATATGGATAAAATTTAGAGAATTTTTCATAAAGAACCATCTTTTAGGTCTAATTAGTCATTTATAGATACCATTTGCTATATTATGTGTTATAGATATCTTTTATGTTTTTATACAATGTATTTCATGTATTTGAGATGTTGTATTCATTAATACAACAAAAAAATAGGCGTAAAAACAGGAATTCTAGCTAACTCTGATATGTATTTAACTGTATTTAAGAGGCTTTAACGTGAAATACAGTAACATATCTGCACACAATCTGGAAGGTTAAACTGGTTAAAAAGGGAAGAAAATCAAATCACATGATATTATCCTAAATTAACTCAACGAACTAAAACTAGTACACATTAATCAGTATTCTGCTCAAAGACAGCATCTTAGAAACGTGAATACAGCGAAAAAAATAGAGCAACATCTGATCGAACTTCTTCCATTCTCTTCTCTTTTTTTCGATTGATACAAATTATATACAAAATAAGGTATTCATCCTCTATACATATGGCAAGTTTAACAGTTTTGTTGCGTCATTCTGGCAAGTGGAACGATGAGGGCAATTACATCAATTTTTCAATTGAGGGAATACTGATAAAGGAGTATGCCTCCTTTAATGATCTGGTGGTTTTAATTTCAAATCAACTGGGTATCGATTTGAGCTCCAAGACCATTAAAATACAATACAAAGTAGAAGGAAATTGCACACCAATGGAAATACACAATGATATGGGTTACAGAGTGTATGTAGAATTGAAGAAAGAGAACAGAGAATTTGGGATGTATCCTTTGTGCATAACAACTATAGAAAAAGATCTTATATCCGGAGGTAGTTTAAATCAAGGCGACATTGTGCAAATAGATGAAGGAGTTCAAAGGTACGATTCCGATACAGATGATACACTGGCTCTAGATTTTGTCAATTCAGGAGAAGCGATTGGAGTGTTCGAACTCCACAAGGATTTGATAATTTCAAAAACTAATCAAAAGGAGGTTATGGCTGGACAAGTTTATAAGGATAAGGCTACATTGAAAGAGGTGATGAAGAATTATGCTATAGCTCAAAAATTTCAATTCCGGGTTAATAGATCTAATGCTGTCAGGTTTGCATATATTTAAAAAAAAAATCTGTTGTATTTTCGATTATTGGTTCGAGCTGTAAGTTTAACGTCATTGTATTTATGCGTATTTGTGTATTTCATCTAGATGATCACAGATGAAGTAAACATATGTTTGTTTAGGGCGCTTAAATACATGTATTCATATGTATTTTACTGGTATAAATACACAACAGTGGCTCTAATTATTTTCTTATTATGTCTACTGTGATATTAAGTGTATGCATATACAAACAAGTGTTTTCAGTTGTATTCATTGTATTCAAACGCATATAACTATAATGGAATTCAGTAGTATAAAAATTTATATATATAGATGTCAGGATGTATCTATGTCAGATTATATTTGTTTGTATATGAGCTGCATTTTTTGTAAACACTTATGCTAATCAAATGTAAAATAATTAATTCTTTGCAGCTATGCATTATTATGCATTTCAGAAGATTGTGAATGGAGGTTTAAGGCTTCAAATATTAACAAATCAAAACTATTCAAAGTGAGAGAATTCAATGATAACCATACATGTCCGCTGAAGGACAAGGTGTATGAGCAGCGGCAGGCTAGTAGCAGCCTTATAGGTGGTATGATAAGGCCTAAGCTTACAAACCATAAGAGGAAATACACTCCAAAGGATATTATTGATGATGTGAAATCAGATTTAGGTGTAGATGTTAGCTACATATTGGTGTGGAGGGCTAAAGAAAAGGCAATGAATTTTCTGATAGGTGAACCGGCTGATTCATACAAAAAATTACTAGGATACTTATATACAATGGATATGACATATCCAGGTTCCCACATAAGAATGGTAAAATCGCCAAAAAATGAATCCATGTACGTGTATATATCCTTTGTATGCCTTTATAAGGGGGTTTGATCATTGTAGACCCATTGTTGTTGTGGATGGAAGTCACCTAAAATCTTATTACACCGGGACATTCGTTTCGACAAGCACGTTGAATGGTGCAGGTGAGTATCTGAATTATAATACAATCTGTTAATATTTTTAAATATTGAAATACATGTTTTAAAAATAATTATATTCAATTATATTTACAGGTCATATATTGCCACTAGCATATGGTATTATTGATTCAGAGAACGATGTTGCTTGGACGTGGTTCTTTGAGCAATTCAAGATAGCATACGGTGAAAGGGAAAACATGTGCATCGTTTCAGATAGAAATGAGAGTATCATTAAATCTGTATCGAGAGTGTATCCAGATGTACCGTATTTTGCTTGTATATGGCATCTATGGAACAACGTATATAAGAAATTCAAAAAGAGCCATGCCAAGTTGAGCGAGATATACTTCTCGATGGCAAATGCATACACACAAGCTGAATTTGACAGTCTGATGGAGAAGGTGGAGAATGTAGATATTAGGGTGAAAGAATACTTAGAGTTAGCTGGTTACGAAAATTGAACTAGGTTGTATGTACCTGTTAACAAGGGATGGACAATGACGTCAAATATTGCTGAGTCAATCAATGCCGCACTAGTTTCAGCAAGGGAATTGCCAATATACGACTTCCTCGAAGAAGTTAGGAAGATGTTTGGACGTTGCAATTGTAGTAACCGCAAAGAAGCTACACAGACATACACGACGCTTGGAAAAAAATACCAGGAAATGCTGACTTTGAATGAGCCAATGTCTACACGTATGACTGTAAGTTATATTTTAATGTCATTGTTGTATATAGCTTAATTGTTACTGAATTAATGGCATGAATACAACTGAATACAATGATTTTTTTAAGTAGAACTACCATTAATACATATGAATACAACTATATTCAAACTCATAAAAGATATATTTTTCCGTAGATCTGATATGAATACAACTGAATATAACTAAAAGCATGCTGCAAAAACTATTGGAATACATCAGAATATAACTAACAAAGTTGTATTATATGTAATTATGATATGTATTGTCAATACGTATGATTCTAATGCTTTTGTTAGCATCCTGTTGCCTAAAGTACAGCAGAATTCTGATAAGTTATGCACTAATTACAGTTGGTATTCTACTGATCTAAATATTTGATGTATTCATCTATATGCAAAAATTTCAGTTGTATGTAACTTATTAATTCAGCATTATACATCTGGTAATTCAAATATATGTGCTCAAAACTTATATTTCTATTTTTAAATGTAGGTGGTACCATCAACTGAATACTTACATATGATTAACGATGGTGGGAGAAATTACACAGTCTGTCTGTTAGAGAGAAAATGTGTTTGTGGGAGGTTCCAAGTTGATGAATTGCCATGCCCACATGCTTGGGCTGTATTGAAGAGCAAGTTTCTAATGCCAGAAGAATATTGCTCTAATTATTACAAACCAAATACAATTGTAATGACATATGATTTGCCAGTGTACCCGTTACCGGACAGAAATGACTGGAATATACCAGAACATGTTGCTGAGGAGGTTGTACTACCACCCAAATGGAAAAGACCTCCTGGAAGGCCAAAGAAGAAGCGCGATAAAACTTTAAGTGAATTGCTACAGCCGAAAAATCAACATTCATGTAGCATATGTAGGCAGGGAGGACATAACAAGCGAACGTATAGAAATGCTCCACGTAATAAATAGTTAACACTCTGACATGTATTAGTGCTTCAACGATTTGTCAATACTTATGTTAACATTGTCAAGTAATAAATTCTCATTGTCAAGTAATAAATTCTCATTGTCAAGTAATATATTCTGAAATGACTTTCGTGAATTATTTCTGAATACATATAGTAGAAATATTTTTATACAAATAAATACATATGCACTATACAGTTGAGTATAACTGAGTATAGATGAATACTAAAAAATACAATTGGACACAGCTGAAGTATTTTTATGAATAATACAGTTGAGTAGCACTGAATGTAAATGAATACACCAAAATACAACTGAATATAGTTGAATAATACACTTAAATACAACTAACTACTGCTGAATAAAACAAGTTGAATACAACTGAGTACATCTGAATACAACTGATTGCGTAAAACCTGTTTAATACATCTGAAATTGTGTTCTTTAATATGTGTTATCTGAACTTGGAAGATACATTTGAATGGATGCTGCTGAATATAACTGAATACAATTGAATTTTACAGTTAAATACAACTGAATCCAGAAAAAAATACATCTGAATTCTTTTATATAACCTACCATCAACATACATAAAGTTTCTGACTTTGACATTAACATGCTCATTAACTAAAAAGTGTTCAAGCAAAGTTGCTTGGTATTAACACATACTTGAATCCTGTAAGATAAATTTGTATTCAAACTGAAGAATAAGCATGAATACTTATGAACAAACCAGTGAAACAGTGATTGAAAAGTTGCAATTGTCATACACGAACACTGTTGATAAAGTGATAAGTTTTTCAAACTAAATACCATCTACACCAAAAACTACTCAAAATAGTATTCATCTTGAAACTACACTCCAAAACTACAATAACCTAAAGCTACTCTAACACTATCTACATCTTTGAATCTGACTCCGTGATTTGCCTAGCAATCTTTGAAGGTGTTTCATTCTCGCTTATGGCATCAGCGTCTATCTTCCGCATAGCATAGTCCCAGAGGAGAGCACCATATCTTTGACGAAGTAGAGAGGAATCAAATGTTATTTGTGGAATCTCTCCAAGAGTGCTCAAAAGATCTGCGTATGCTGCAACATGCACCCCACAATCCCTAAAAAATAATTGATTGAAACAATTAAAAATAATTCATATAATTAGATTTGTATATAACATACAATAATGATGCTTGAATACTTACATGCTACCAGCTTTCTGTTGAGGCAGATCTGAAATGAAAAAAACTTCAAAGGGATCATTATGTGACTTGTCAGTGTATGCTGAGTAAGTAGACCAATCTATGCCTTGACTATCTCTGTAAAAGCCACTGATTGATAGATATAGAGGTACAAGCTTAGCTAGCTTATCAATAACTACATAAGAATCATGACCTGCAGATCTGTACGAGTCATACACTTTGATACATCTCTCCTTGAATGAGACAACAGCCAATACCCAGTGTAGTTTGTCCTTCAAGTTGACTGGTATCATGACATTATCCACAGTATGCCAAGGTACATTTGCATGCAATCTGTAGCCTCTTATGTACTCACATACCACATCCTCTTCTTTGGCTATATTAGCATTACTATCTATATCAGCATACCTGTCGAATATTTCAGCGATTCTTGTCTTGAATATACAATCAACAGTTGTATACTTGAAGTTGCTTGTTTGATTGTACTTTCCCTTCTTTCTCAAATAGTAGAATATGACGTCAATATGCTATACACAAATTTAAGTACATGGTGTGAGTCCAATTAATCAAACTATTAAAGAATATAGCTGAATACAAATAAATACATATGAAAAATACAGTTGAATACAACAGATTGTATGTGAATAAAACTGTTGACTACAACTGACTACAGCTTACTACATCTGATTAAAACAATTGAAAACAACTGAATATAACTGAATACAGCTGAATAATATTGAATAATACAATTGACTACTTATGATTTAAAGACTTCAATATGACTGTCTACAGTTGAATACAGCTGAATAATATTGAATAATACAATTGACTACTTATGATTTAAAGACTTCAATATGACTGTCTACAGTTGAATACAGCTGAATACAGAGAAATGTAGTTGAATACAGCTGACTACAGTTGATTAAAACATTTGAATTCAACTGAATATAGTTAAATACATCTGAATATAGGAGTTGAATAAAGCGGAATACAAATGCAGTTGAATACATCTGACTACAGTTGATTAAAACAGTTGAATTTAATTGAAATTAACTGAATACAGCTGAATAAAGCTGAATATAACAATGGAATACAGCTAACTATAGCTGATTAATACAGTTCAATTCAACTGACTATAACTGAATACATCTGAATACACCAAAATACAGCTGAATAAAACTGAATGCACAAGTTGAATAAAGGTGAATATAGCAATTGAATTCAGCTGACTATAGCTTGAATACAGTTGAATACAACTTAATACAGCTGAATGCAGATGAATAATACAGCTGAATATAGCTGAATAAAACAACATGTTGTTATTCAAAGAAAATTAGTCAGTTAGGGGGAAAAAACTTACGTTGTCATCCTATAGCTTCCCGTCAAACGATAGAAGGTAAAACCAATTTTTTGAATTAAGTTGATCAACTCCAAAATCTAATGGTATATGAAGTGTTGACTTGTTCTTCTTGTAATGGTCTTCCAAATTACTTCTACAAGTATGGTATAAAAATATTATATACAGTTTTAAAAATATAAAAACTAAATACACATACCGGGGAAAAACTCACCTCTGATCATGTCTAGCGAGAAGACCATCATGAACCCATTTGTCATATTCCTGAATGATTAACGTAGGATGTTGCCCCGTTATTGAATCATCCTCAAAGGGGTGTCTTTTTTCAAAAATGGTGGTCAACTTTACTGAGGTACCTATTGTTCATTGAATTCATGATTAAAGACTTTTAAATTTAAAAACCATGAGGAAAGCTGAATCTTTACTTTATAAAAATACTAACCTGCGGAGTCGAAGTTAGACTCATAAGGCGAAGAGTACCATCTACTTGGTCGCTGATTCCTATGAGATGGTATTGGGGTTGATTCAGCTCTTTTTGCATTGTTGTGAATCACAATTCTAGTTTCTGGAATTTGACTGGGAAGAAACTTGTCGTCCAGCTCAAATTGAGATACATAGAATTCTGTAGATACACCCTATTGACCAGTAGATGGTATGTTGGACGACACCTCTGATGTAGTTTTCCCCTCTCCTCTATACTCCAAACATTGATCATTAAGCACTTGTTTCTGTTAGTTGTATGTATCATTGTTAGTGTATTAACTTAATGTTACAATACAGTTCAATACATATAAGTGTAGTAAGAAAATAGATTTTGGTAATGGAAATGGGAGCTTGAAATACATCACACATATTCAAGAAATACAAATCAGAATACATCAAAATACAGTTGAATATGTTTAAATATAGTAGTTAATTCCATTTACATATTAAGGTTAACACAAATATGAATACAACTAAATACATGTGTTGGCCGATGCATTTATCAGTTTAGTGAGGCAGTTAAAGGCTAGTCGAATACATACAACATTTATAAATACAGTTATTTAATTATAACAGTAAGCAGGAGATATAAACAAATGCTCAATATGTTAAGAATGGTAAACCTCAACATTATCTCCGACATCTGTGTCAATGCCATCATCACGTCTCCCTATAGGTTCCTTTCTCTGGTGAAAACTTTCAGTTTGCTGATTTTGTTGAAGATGGTAAGAAAGCTTCTTGAAGTTATCATTGATCAATGTTCTTACAGACTTGAACTCTCCCACAA